TTCAACAAAAAATTGTCAAAATCTCATCCCGCGCGCTCTTGCGGATTCGTAGGAAACCCAACACTTTTTAAACATTTCTGTCAAACGGGCTTTTGCGAGCAACTTTTTCGAACTTCTGCGACAACGGTTGCGCACCTGCCAGGGCCATCATCCCTGTCAAATAATACCATGCGGGACACATTCGTTTTTTCTTCGCGCGCGCACGCCGTCGTCGTCGGCCGCGGGGCCCTGAATAGTAGCCACGGTCGTCCGCATGCCACGAAGTGAAGTGTCCGAACGTCATAGGGCGGGAAGCTGGGTGTGGGTGGTGGCGAAGAGTCGTTTGGAAATTTGGTAGAGCTTGAACCGGCCCCCCCACAAAGTGGGGGTATTGCCCGCCTCCTATGAAAACCCTGGCACTGGTGAGAACGGTGTGTCCCCACGTGCTAGTAATTGTTGTTGTTGTTGTTGTTGTGTTTTGTGTTGTTGTTGCGTTGCGTTGCAGTGCATTGCATTGCGTTACGTTGGTTTGCGTTGTTGTCAGCGCCCCCCCCCGCGACCGGGCCCGCGACCCACCCGCGACCCACCTGCGACCCGCCCGCGGCCCGCCCGCGACCAGGCCCGCGACCGACCCGCGACCCACCCGCGACCCAACCCGCGACCCGCCGGCGACCCACCCGACCCGCGACCCATCCCGCGACCCGCCCGCGACCCACCCATACTGCTTTAAGGGAAAAATCAGCGCCTGCGGCGGGCTCGTCGTATACTTTGTTCCCCAATCAGAGCTTGCCTCTGTAGGGGTCCTAGCGGATATAAAGCTGAGGTGAGGTGAGCGGCCGATTTCGGTGGCCGGGGCCGGGTGCCCGGGTGCCCGGGGGTTCCCGGGGGTGCCCGGGTGCCCAGGTGTGTGGCCGATTTCGGTGGCCGGGGCCGGGTGCACGGGTGCCCGGGGGTGCCCGGGGGTGCCCGGGTGCCCAGGGGTGCCCGGGTGCCCGGGGTGCCCAGAAGTGCCCGGGGGTGCCTAGCCCAATAGCCCTATATCCCTATAGCCCAATAGCCCAATCGCCATATATCCCTATAGCTCTATAACCCTATAGCCCTATAGCCGTACCTATACGACCACCCTTCGGGTGATAAGGAGGTTCGGGGGGGGGGGAACCAACGTCTCACTCGATCGGTCTCACTATCGATCTCAGTATCGATCTCACTATCGGTCGCGCTCGATCGATCTCACTCGATCGATCTCACAATCGATCTCAATCTATCTCATTCGATCGATCTCACAATTGATCTCACAATCGATCTCACAATCGATCACACAGTCGATCTCACATTCGGTCTCAATATCGATCCCACGATCGATATCACAATCACTCTCACAATCAAAGTCATCATCATCATCATCATCAACAACAACAACATCATCAACATCATCTACATCAACATCATGACCAACATCGTCATCATCATGAAGGCACCGTCATCATCATAAACATCATCAACGTCAGCATCAACATCATCATCATCGTCATCATCATCATCACCATCATCATCTCATCAGCATCATCATCATCATCCTCATCATCATCATCGGGACACAGTCATCGTCATCATCATCAGCAGCATCATCATCATCATACTCGGGACACCATCATGATCACCATCGTTCTCATCATCAACATTATCATCAACATCGTCATCACCCTCAAGACACCATCATCATGATCATCGCATCATCATCATCGACATCATCATCATCAACAACATCATCATCATCATTGGGGCACCACCATCATGGGCAACATCATCATCAACATCGTCATTATCATTATTATCATCATCGGGACACCATCAGCATCACCATCATCATTATCACCATCACCATCATCATCATCATCATCATCAACATCATCATCGGGACACCATAATCATCATCAACATCATCATCAACATCATTATCGCCGGGACACCATTTCCATCAACGTCACCATCACCAACATCATCGGAATCATCATCATCATCATCATCATCATCATTGGGACACAGTCATCGTCATCATCATCAGCAGCATCATCATAATCATCATCATAATCGGGACACCATCATGATCACCATCGTTCTCATCATCAACATTATCATCAACATCGTCATCACCCTCAAAACACCATCATCATCATGATCATCGCATCATCATTGTCGACATCATCATCATCAACAACATCATCATCATTGGGGCACCATCACCATCATGAGCAACATCATCATCAACATCGTCATTATCATTATTACCATCATCGGGACACCATCAGCATCACCATCGTCATCATCACCATCACCATCATCATCATCAGCATCATCATCGGGACGCCATAATCATCATCAACATCATCATCAACATCATTATCGCCGGGACACCATTTCCATCAACATCATCATCACCAACATCATCGGAATCACCATCATCATTATCATCATCATCATCATCATCATCATCATCATCATCGGGACACCATCATCGTCATCATCATCAGCATAAGCATCATGAACATCATCATCCTCATCATCGAGACACTATCATCATCATCGACACCATCATCAACATCATCATCATCTTCATCGGGACACCATCATCATCATCATCTCATCATCATCTCATCATCATCATCACCATCATCATCACATCATCATCATCATCATCATCATCATCATCATCATCATCATCATCATCATCATCCTCGCGGGACACCGCGGGACACCGGCGGGACACCGCGGGACACCGCGGGACACGGCGGGGACACCCGCGGGACACCGCGGGGCCCCGCGCCCCGGATGAGAAACATTTGGTCCGGCCGCGCCTCAGCCACAGGAGGACAACGCGGGACACCGGCGGGACACCGCGGGGCCCCGCGCCTCGGAAGAGAAACATTTGGTCCGGCCGCGCCTCAGCCACGGGAGACTTTTTCTCGCCCGCCCACGCAGCTTCGCCTCGCACGCACGGCACGCACGAACACGAAACCGAAACCGATTTCCCGGTGGGGGGCTCGCCGTTCCACTTCGATCTCACCCCCTCACCTCCGATAGCCCTATAGCCCAATAGCCCAATAGCCCAATAGTCCCATAGCCCCAGAGCCCCATAGCCCTATAGCCCTATAGCCCTATAGCCCTATAGCCCTATGGTCCTAAAGCCCTATAGCCGTATATAGCCGTATATAGCCCGAATGCCCGAATAGCCTTATAGCCCTTAGCCCTATAGCCCTATAGCCCTGTAGCCCTATAGCCCCATCGCCCTAAAGGCTTCTAGCCCTATATCCCTATGGCCACATCGCACTATAGCCCTATAGCCCCATAGCCCTAAAGCCCCATAGCCCCCCCAAATTCTGATTGGGGTTTTTCTCTGGTGCCATGAAGACAAAACGCCTGCGGCGGGCTTCGTCTGATTCTCGCAGACTGCCGACGTCCCCGCCGCCCCCTCACTCTTATCCGCAACTGCGGCGTGCTACGGTAACAAGCTTGGTGACTGGCTTGGGCTGACTGGTCAGCGCGTCTGCGAGATCGTATGAGGTCAACGGACCTGCCGTTTACGAGACCACGCAAACCAATCAACCACACACTGGGTAGCACCTTTGATTGAAAACGCCGGAAGACACCTAATCCTGTTGACCAACTGGTGCTGTCTTGAACAGGGACCGACCGTCCCGGAATTCCGATAGGTCTGCCATGACATGTTCTTTGAACCCAAACAACGTTCCAATAACAAAAGCAACGTTCTGATAACATAAGCCCGATGTGTTCAAACAAGACAGCCTCAGCCAGAACTGCTCTGAACACATGTCGCGCAGACCACAAAAGATTCTTAGAACATTCTTTGGTGTGCCTAGAGGCGAGGCAGGACGCTTCGCTACTGCTTCACTGACTGGTCCGAGTCCGTGCGTCTACAGTGGGGGCCCGACCACAGGACACCTTCCACAAGAAACCCAACCCTGAGACCCCAGGTCGTCCATGGATTCTTGGAGAGGGAGCGGCGCGCCCTCCATCGCAAGACGATCAAAACCCAAGAAACCCAGGGCACCTTGGAGGCAAGCATGGTGTTTCTTGGCATGGGTCTCCTGAAGGGGCCCTGGGACACACAAACAAATACACACACAAATAATTATGTTCCCCATACTTCTCATATTTGTAGGGGGTTTCGTCTTCCCCCCCCACTTCCCATATTTCCCTACATCTTCGGGGGAATCGACGACTAATTGTGTCTGTGTGTTATTTCCCCTCCGGAATGGTGTTTCTTGGCATGGATCTCCACTTTGGACACCCTAAATGGGTACGGAAAGAATGGGTACAATGCCCAACAACAAATGTTGTCCCAAACCAACAGCGGCCGCTGTTGGGCAGGCGGCCCTTTGTCTCGAATGGACACAGGCCGCGGCGGCGTGGACAGCGAGTCCTGTTCAGAATGAACAGGATCCGCTGTTGGGCATTGTACTCATGCTTTCCGTGCCAATTTCGGGCGTCCAAATCCACTGTATGCGTCACGTCAGGTTTCTGGAAGACCGGCCCGGGCTCGGACATTCGAGGGACGTTTGCAGCCAGGTGGAACCCAGCTGGGGCGCGTCCTGCCCAAGCGCCGCTCTTCTTCTCCAGGAGGAAGAGGAGGAGGAGGAGGAGGAGGAGGAGGAGGAGGAGGAGGAGGAGGATGGAGGAGGGAGGAGGGGAAGAGGATGGAGGAGGAAGGAGGATGGGGGGAGGATGGGAGGAGGAGGGAAGTAGGAGGAGGAGGAGGAGGAGGAGGAGGAGGAGGAGGAGGAGGAGGAGGAGGAGGAGGAGGAGGAGGATGGAGGAGGGTGGAGGAGGGTGGAGGAGGATGGAGGAGGATGGAGGAGGAGGAGGAGGAGTTCCCCTCCCTCTCCCTCCCTTTTTCCCCTTCCTCCTCCCCGCTCCTTGGCTCAGGCCAGTGCGCGTGCGCCCGACGGCGGGGCAGGGCGGCTCACACCCAAGCGCCGAGGGGACCCGTGGGGGTAGAGAACCTAGGGCTCCCAACTTCGCGCTTCGCGCTTCGCGCTGCGCGAAGCGCGAATAACTTCGCGCCCTCGCGCCGCCCCCCCAAAGGGAGAGAATAGGAGGACGAGGAGGAGGGGGAGGAGGAGCGAGGACCGCGAAGCGCGAAGCGCGAATAACTTCGCGCCCTCGAGGGAGCCCTTGGTGAACCAGGGTCCGCTCGTGGTCGCGGGTCTGTGCCGCTGCTCGACCTCGGGGCCTCCTCCGGCGCCGGCGCTGCCACGTGGCCCCCGCCCCGGATCGACGGCGCCGGCTGCCGCAGAGGCACAGCAACAAGCTGCATGCACACCAGCTTTCCGAGATCCGCGCGGATTTCGCGGAGCGACGCTGGGCTCCCTCCGGGTTGTATATATATATATATATACATATATATAAATATATAAATATATATATATATATATATATATACATAAATACATGCATATGTGTGTATATACAGATATATCAATACATATGCAGGTGTGTGTACATATATATATATATATATATATATAGATATACACATACATACATATAGGGCCAGGGACGCTGGAAAAAGCGCCCCCCCTAACGATGTCGGTCCTCCCCAGGCCTCTGGGCAACCCTTCAGACGACCTGGGAGAACCTCACGAGAGCCCAAAGACGGCCCCAGACGGGTTTCAGGCATTCGGCGTGCTCCCGAAACGACCCCAGAAAGCCCCAACACGGTCCATGACGACCCCCACGAAGTCGTCATACGCCCAAAGATCGCTCCGAAACGTCCCAAGAGGCCTTGAAGAGCACTCCCAAGAAGACCCCAAGGGACAAAAAACATTGATTTGCTGTTGGTTTTTGCTGAATTTTGGGGTTCTCCTCTTTTCGGCTTCCCGACGCTCCAAGACGGCGGTCTTCTGGGCGTCCGAAGCCACCTGGGAGGCTCCAAATCGCCCCACGACCATCCGAAAAGGCTTCCACGCAGTCCAGGAGAGCCCCAAAACGGCACAACAAGGTTCCAAGATGGCCCTCCAAGAGCCCCATGGCGGCCAAAGATGACCCCAAGACACCCTCCGAAGCATTCCAAATCGTGACCTGGTCGTTCAGGGAGACCGCTCAGGAGGCCTCCAGAAGGCTCTAGGAAAGCCTGAACAACTTTGTGAGGCCCCCAGAGGCTCTCCAACGAGGACCTCCGCAAAAAGAGCTGAGGAGAATGGGGAGACTGCGCAGAGTATGGCGAGAATGAAGAAAAAGAAGCATGGCGGAAGGATAATGAATAACATGACTATAACGGCAATGCCGAAAAAGGCAACAAGGAGTTATCGCTAATTTGTCGGCTTGACCTTCCTGCCATTCCGCCTGCGTACCAAACTTCAAGGACCAAGGTGCATGGCGCGAAGCGCCACTGCAGGCTTACATATATATACATATATATATATAAATATGTATATATATATATGTGTATGGGTAAGTGTGTGTATGTGTAAAAAAACATATGTCCACATCCATATCTCTATCCACTGCGTGTTGGACTTTCTGGGAAGGTGCGCAGGAGGGGGGGCCGAGGCGCAGTGATGTAGATCTAAATCTAACCTCTCGGCGCCAGAATCTTCTACACATCCACTGCGCCGTGCTTGGTGAGGACGGGGGCCCGAAGCCCACAAGACGCAGCAGATCTCGATAGCAGCCTTGCCCGCACGCCCCCCCTCCTTTTCGGAGTCCCGAAACGCTGCGGTGACAGACCGTGCAGTGACCTCGGAATCCCACAAGACCTCACCGCACGGTCCGTCACCGCACGGTCTTGGAACCTCGGAGGCCCCAGTCGCCCGAGACGTCCTCGGAGAAGGACCCGGGTCCCAAAACCGTGCGGTGCCCCCGAATCCCCACCGACTCACCACACGGTGTGGTCACCGCCCCGTTTGGGCCCCCCCCCGATCCCTGGCGCGCGGAGCGCGCCCAGTGCGGCGCCAGGGGACTCCGGCGCCGATCCGAGCAAGCCGCGCGGAGCTCTGAAAACGTGCGGTGCTGCCGCGTGCCCGTTCCTCGATGCGCCGCGCCCTCGCCGCCGGCGGCGGGGCGGGCCCCGGAGGCGCCTGGCCCGGGCTCCGGGGCTCGCTGGGGCGCCGCCTCCCCGGGCGCCGGCGCGGGGCCCGCGGGCGCCACCTCGATCGGCGGCTCAGAGAGGGGGGCCCCGAGGGGGGAGGGCCCAGAGGACGAGCGGCCTCAAGCAGCGAAGGTTCAGCTTCGGATCGCGCTCTGGATCCTTCCCTGGTCATCGATCTGTTTGCTGCCGGGGAGATCGGTCGCTACCCGTGCTGCTTCGAATTCTGGTATCGGTTGCTTCAAAATCGGGCGCGCCAGGTCGCGACTGACTTTGGGGTCAGACGCGATCTGTCGCGACCGATTCGGAGTGCAGACTGGTCGCTCCATTGCGATCGGAAAAATACAATAGCGCCCCGCAGTTGCGGCTAAGAGCGAGGGGGCGGCGGAGACGTCAGCAGTCTGCGAGAATCTGACGAAGCCCGCCGCAGGCGTTTTATGCTCACAAAACATACAAAGAACCCGCCGCAGGCGCTGATTTTACCGTTAAGGCAATATGGGTGGGTCGCAGGTGGATCGCGGGCTCCGAAGCGGGTGGGTCGCGGATGGGTCACGGGCGTGTCGCGGGGTGGGTCGCGGGCCTGGTCGCGGGGTGGGTCGCGGGTGGGCCGCGGGCCTGGTCGCGGGCGGGTCGCGAGTGGGTCGCGGGTGAGCCGCGGGTGGGTCGTTGGCCGGGTCGCGGGGGGGACGACGACAACAACGCAACGCAACGCAACGCAACGCATCGCAACGCAACAACAACAGCAACAACAGCAACAACAACAACACAAACAGCAGCAAACACACTAACAGCAACAACGGCAACACCAACAGCAACAGCAACAACAACACCAACAACAATACCAATACAACCAATAGCATCATCAACGATCACATCAACAACAACAGCAACAGCAATCACAACAACAACAGCAACAACAACAACAACAACAATCACAACAACAACAACGTCAACAACAACAACAACAACAACAAAAACTCAACGCCAACAACAACAAGCATAAACCGTGCCGTGGAGTCCCACTTCAGCCACGCACCCAGAGACAGCGAATGCTCATTCGGCCCCCTCACTCTGATAGTACCCAATGATCTGGGCTGGGGCTCTTGCGAATCGACGCTAACCCACGTGAATCGACGCGAGTCCACGCAAATCAACGCTTGTCGATGCCAAATCGGCGATTTTTCGTTCCTCACAAGACGCCAGCGAACGCTAGTGCACTCTGAATCACGGATGCTGCGAAGACACGCAAAACTCCCATGCGTTGCAACCGGACTACCCTGAAGTAGGGACCCTTCCGTCGGGACTTCATCTTCGACGAACGAGTTGTCTGGGGTTAACTATGGTCAAGTGTGATAAAAATACGGTGTGACAAAAAAAACAAATGTGATACAAAAACAATAGTGTTTCATCTTACTTGTTTTTGTTGTCACACTTGTTCTCGGTATTTCTGGCTTGGGCCACTGACGCGCGAACATGGAAAAGCTCCTGACCACCCCAACCCCCGATGATTCGGGGGGAGTGCTCGGGCGCCCGAACTATCGTTGATAAATCCGGTCTGGGGCTTCTCTGGTTTGGGCCCCCGGACGCACGAACCACGAGTTACCACCGACCAGCCCCAGCCCTCATGGTTCGGGGCTCTGACTATCCTAGAAAGGCCTCCCAGAGGGGTTCCGAGCAGGTGGGGTCGAAGCATCGCACCGCATCGCCAATGCATCGCCGATGCATCGCTGAAGCACCGATTCAGCGGTGATGCATCGGCGACGTCGGCGATGCAATCGGCGACGTCGGCGTGGAGAGAAGTCGGGCACCACATCGAGCCGCATCGCCGATGCATCGGCGATGCGGCGCGACCCTCCAGCCCGATCTGCTCCGAACTCACCTGGGAGGCCTAGATTCAGGTCGGGCGTGTCCTCCTGGAGGCGGGTTTTGGACGCAACCAAAAAAACTGTCAAAAATACTTCACAGATTACCAAACTGTGTCACAAGATCGTCCCGACTATTTTTGAAGAGTAGTTTCAATATTCCTCCTCTAGAGGGGCAGGCCCGACTTAAGCCTCTTTGAACCGCCGACCAGGACCCCCTCTTTGAACCGCCGACCACCGGGCCTGCCTCGGCCAGCTCACCGCCGCCGCTGGCGTGGCAACGCCCGAGCGGGCGGGCTCCCGCGCTCCAAGGCGAATCCGTCGGGTCGGCCTGCGGCGGAGGCCCCGGGGCCTGGAGCTCGCGGCCGGGCGAGCCCAGCGAGCTGAGGAGCGACGGGGACAGCACGTCGGGGACCTGATGCGCACACACAATCACACACATGTGTAGATATACAGATATATTGATACACGTATACATAATTCCTGTACGTATCCATCCACATTTATATATATGTGTATATATATGTATATATATGTGTATCTGTGTAAAAGGTGTGTGTATAAATACAAACACAAACCTACACACACCAAACGAAGCGTACTGTTCGGCATTTCCACTCGAGTGTTTTCACGAAAAGACGTCCTGGCTGCTGGTTTGGCGGCTCCGTGCTCGCCGTCGCCACCCCGTCGCCGCCCGTCGTCTGGGCCTGGGTGTCGTTCTGGCGGCCCTGTGCTCACCGTCGCCGTCACGTCGCCTCCCGAAATGTGCGCGTGGGTGTCTGCCTGGCGGTCCCGTGGTCACCGTCGCCGCCCCGTCGCCGAAATTTCTTCACAGTGTGGATTGCACCACGTAGATACACCTAAATGGATGACGCCCTTTGGATTGCACCAATTCTTTTGCACACGTGCACTCGCACGTGTATGGCAAAACAACTTACTGCACCAGGCCGACAGCACCACACCGATTGCGCACCACTTCGATTGCGCACCACATCGGTTGCGCACCACATAGGTTGCACCTCTTTCCAAACGACGTAAGATCTCAAACCCACCCACTGGATTTATCCGGTCAGCTCCGCGCATTGCAAATCACAGCGATGTAAATATGAACCCGTACCATCCCAGCCAAACTAAAAAATCGACCCCCATCGTCTTCGTCATATGATACGATGTGCGCACACATGTTGGACACATCGTCCATTCTCAAAAATTCCACACGCGAGCGTCGTCGCGAGCCCATGCCAAACATCGAATGTCCCGAAAGCACACAAATCTCACTCTCAACGGGACACCACGGGACACCACTGGACACCACGAGACACATGTCGATCTCACTATCGATCTCACTCAACGGGACACCACGGAACATCACGGGACACCTGTCGATCTCACTATCGATCTCACTATCGATCTCACTCAGTGGGACACCACTGGACACCACGGGACGCCACGGGACACCGCGGGACACCGCGGCACACCGCCAGACGGACGGACGGACGGGCGGGCGGGGGAGAATCATTTGTCTTGACGTCGCCCTAGCAACTGCGGGACACCACGGGACACCACGGGACACCGCGGGACACCGCGAGCCAGCGCGAGCCACCGCCAGACGGGCGGGCGGAGGAGAATCATTTGTGTTGACTTCGCCCTAGCAGCGGCGGGTTCATTCCTCTCGCGCGCCCACGCAGCTTCGCCTCGCCCGCACGCACGACACGAAATAAACGAAACGATTTCCTGGTTGGGGGTCTCCGTTCCACTGCGATCTCACACCCCATCCTCCGATCTATAGTGAGATCTGTAATGAGACCGATAGTGAAATTTATAGTGAGATCGATCGAGTGCAATCAGTTCTGTGAGATCGATCCTGTGTGATCTATGATGGGATCGATCCTGTCAGATCGATATGTCCCTGTGGTGTCCGCACGGTGCCCTGGTGGTGTGCTGTTGGTCGGCAACTGTCTCGGCACTGTCGCAGCTGCCATCCGTTGGTTCTCCCCCCCACACACTCTCTCTCTCCGTATCACACGAAGCGTGGTCGTATAGGTGTGTACACATACACAAATTCACACATACATACCTGCATGCATACATACACACATACATGCATGCATGCATGCATACATACACACAAACATGCATGTATACATACATACATGCAAACAAGTATACATATGCATACATACATACATATATACATATATATAGATATGTGTATATAGATATACATATATATATATGTATGGTATACATAACTACATATAAACACATGGGAGGCCTAGACGGGAACCCATCTGGGAAACCCAGACAGGTGCACCACGCCGTGTCGGACGAGTGTCTCCCAGGGCCCGACACGTGAAAGCCATCGAGATTCGGTTTTTTTCCTGGTGCTCGAAATGCTTTCTGGTGGACAAGGCTAAAGTAGGTTGGAGCATCATGAAGCCTATCCCTGTGTTTGGCATCACCTCGCCTCGCTGCCGATCTTAAGGACTCCCTCAATTTCTGAGGGCGCATCCCTAAGATTGCCCTTGCCCTTTGCCCGCCCATCTTAGGGATAGGGATCAGTTCGAGGCTGGTTAGGTGACTCATGCTGGGGCACCCCAACATAATAACAGTATCGCAACACTCGGGGGGACGCCAAGGTAGGAGAGCACAGGGTAGGGTTGGGTGGCAACTGCTGGGAGGTCTTCGTCGGAAGGATTGTAAAAAATCAGGCCCCATGGGGAGGGGGTTGCGCCAGATAAGGCCACGGATTTAGCGGGATTAAGCCGAATTAAGCGGGATGACGCGGGATTGAGTGGGATTAAGCCAGATTTCGGACCAGGGCAAAGTCAGAATTTAATCTCCCAGGAGTTGCATCCGAAAGTAGGGTAGAGAATCAGATCACGTAGCTGTTTTTCCCAGCGCGTCCTGGCGCCGGGAAAGGCCCATGAATCAAGGAAAGGCGCTTCGGGGCGGGGCGGAAACCAGCCGCATGCAGCAAATTTCGTGCCCCCAATCATACCCGTTCGTCCAGCCCAAAACTCCCCGGCCCTCTCCCTGTGTGCGTTCTGACCCGAGGCGACTCCAGCAGGGTGACGAAGGCCTCTCAGGCGGTCCCGAACAGGCGAAAGCGAGGGAACGGTGGCGGTATGCAGACCTTGAGAAAAATATTCACGGAAGCTTGTTGTTCGTCCCCATGGCGCCCAATAGCGCGCCCAATCGCTCGCAAAGCGGACACAAGGCATCTGGCTCACATGGAGCTATTGGGCGCTAATGGTCGCGATTGGGCGCCATTTGAGAATCATTTGAGCGCTATTCGGCAGCTACTGGACGCTGTTGGGCGCTGTTGAGCGCTGGGCGCTACTCAGGGCGCCACGCGCCGATATACATTCAGTACAAGACGAACGAAGCTTTCCGCGGTCTACACGTCGGTCGGAAGATGTAGGTAGAAACATGGGGTAGGCAGGCAGACAAAGTAGATTGCTTTCAGGCCCTCCCAGAGAATAGCAAACCACAGCAGTATCAAATCGACTCTTGAAGCAAGACGGTGCTTGAAGCAGATTGGGATCCGCGAGTCCAAAAATAGCTACTTTCAATGACTGGCGTGCACTGCGGGGATCGGCAAATTATATAATCATCAAAACTCGGAGGTCCGCGCGGATTCCTCGCATCGGCGCTGGACCGCGCCGCCAGGCGCGCTCCGCGCGCCAAAGGCGGCGCCGGAGGCGCCGCCAGGGGGCCCCGGCGCGGATCCGAGAAATCCGCGCGGACCTCCGAGTCTTTATGTTTATGTCATTGGATCCCACAACCCCTACTTTCAACGACCGGCGTGTGCTACAGTCGGACTTCGTTGGACAGGACACGAGAGAGGACACAAGACCCTTCCGAGGGCCACCTTGCCGTAGGAATGCAGGAGGCACGGGTACCCTTCATTTGGCAGGGTCGACCTACCAATCCGGGCCGACTGTATCCCGGGACCTGCGTCGTGTCGCTCTCCAGGTCGCTCTCGAGGTGCGGGCAGCACAGCGCAGGGTCGAACGACACGCGCCTGGCGGCGGGCCGGCCCGTGCCGCCCGCGGCGGCCGCGGGGCCCTCGGGCGACATGCGGCGCGGCTGCCCCCGCCGCCCTGGCGCAGAGCAGAGGCCTCCCAGCGGGGGTCCGAGCAGGACATGGGACGCACAAAGACATGCTAGTACTAGATGTCCTCCTTGGAGGCGCGCGTCCGACCCGACCATATAGTATGACCATCTTGTAACTTAGTGTATCGTTTCCCGAGCGGTGTGACCAGAAATCGCCCGCCAAGACGCAAGTATTAGAAGATTTCTCGGTGCGCGCGTCGCCCCTGGGGGGGCGACGCACATATAGTATAAGTATGTTGGGGTGGCGCCGAGGACAGCTCCTTTTGAATTTTCGGCGCTACTCAGACGGAGTCAGGACGAGAATAACAAAAAAAAAAAGTGAGGATGCAGCGAGAATCTGAGATCCAGGGGCCCTGGAGGATGTCTCGGGCGCCGCGGCCTTTTCAGAGCGTCCCGGAAAGCTCTGGCGTTCCGGGGCGCTCGGGAGCGGAATGGTCCTCGTCCTGGCCCCGCCCGGGATAACCCAGGTATGCAAGGGGGGGAAGGGGGGAGGGGCGGCGGAGGTGCCGGCCGATGATTCACAACCTTTTCGCTCCGGCCAGCCCCACGTACAGTCGGGGCGCTGACCTAAGGAACCCTGCATAAGGAACGAGGCCCCTGTATTCTACAAGTCGAGCTTCGACTTCCCATCGAAAACCTAAGGACAACCTAAAACAAATTGTGACACAATCAAGGAACACGGAGCCCCTCCCCAACTAAAAGGGTTCCTCCTTCAGCGCCCCGACGGTACTCCCGCGCGCATCTGCACTGCACCCCCCCCTCTAATCAGCGCAGCCGACGAGGTCAGGCGGGGCCGACAACCAGGGCTATCGCCTACTACCGCACACAAGCGTTAGCCCCTCTAGATAGGATCGGAGGACCGCGCCGCATATCGCCGACGCGTCGGCGATGCCTCGGTTGACGTCCACGTGGAGAGAAGTAGAACTCCGCGCATCGAGCCGCATCGCCAATGCATCGGCGATTTGGCGCGATCCTCCAGCCCGATCTACTACGACCCCATTCGGCTACACGCAAGAGTGACCCTGGGAAAGAGTGGCCCTTTGTGCGCGACTTCTCGGGGGGCGCGGGGAGGCCGAGCTGGAACGCGCGAACCGCTGCTGCCGTATCGCATTCGGCCATCTGGGGAGCCCACTGTGCCCGCACCAAAGATCACTCCAGCGAGAGGCCACTCCCACGTGGACATTCGGACCTGGGACAGCAGCACATCCCTCAAGAACACGGGACCCTCCGCCGGCCAAAACCCAGAGAACATCCGAGGGTAGCATCCCTCCCCATCCCTCCCCAGGATGCACAAGATCGTCCATGAAGGGGCCCAGGGGCACACGAGTAAATACACTTGTTTGATTCGCGGGTCGAGAGCGCACCTCTTCCGGTCGAAGCTAAGCGGGCCTCGCGAAGCTTGAATTAACCATTGAGGGGGAGGAAAAGGGGCACAAGTAAATACACACAGAGATCCCAAGATTCCCGCCATTTTCTCACATCTTCTTGTGCTTCGTCTTCCCCCCCACTCCCCTTATTTCCAACCTTCTCCTGGGGATCGACGATTCATAGTGTGTATGTGTGTGTTTCCTCCTGAGTCCAGCAACACACGAAGAACACAAGGGGCATCCTCCCCGCACCGACCTCGATCGTACACCTTCGGCGGTGGACAAACCTCGATTTAGTAAACCATCCTGTAGTGAAAACGGCCAAAGACCGAAACCGACGGACCTGGACCCGCAAAAATGACGGCCGTGACGCCCTCTCGCGAACCGAACACTGCCAATTCACCAATCGACGTGCCAGGGCAGGAGGTCTCTGTCAAACTCCGACACCCTCGGTCCGACTGCAGCCGACCCCTCCGGGAGGCCCAGGAGGCGCAGACGCCCCGGGGCGGGGCGGGGCGGCGGCGCGGGGGCCGCCCGCCGGCGGCCGCGGCTCCGCGGCGCTCGAGCAAAGACAGGACTACGGTCAGGTCGGGCCGGTTCTGGACGGAGAATGAAACATGAGCACACACTTCTCAAACACAGTCCATCTTTTGCTTCGCAGGGCAAAAGTAGCGTCCCCAAACTACGGTTGCACCATTCTTGAGTATGCCTCCCATGGAGGGGCATGCCCGACTTCCGACTATTACAACCCAGAAGCGACAACTTGCCCGTCGCTCGGACGCCCAGTCCCCGTGCAGTGTGGTCGGCTTCGGGGTGTTGTGTCTGATGTCTCGGAGGATGGCCCGAGCTGCTCCCCGATGGCCCTCGACGAGCCGAAGTGCACACGTCCGAATGGTGCACATGCATCGCGCTTGCTTTCGCTGCCGCTGTCGGCCTTCGAGGGCCCGCGCCGGGCACCAGGACCTTCCATGCACAAGACGACTCGCGGTGACGAGGCGGCCCGCTGGAAAGGGTCGGGACATCCAGAGACTGCGAGCTGGACAACATCAGGACATCGCATTTCGAGCACGGCGCTGGAGCAAACGTAGGACTACCCTCGAGTTTGACTAGTAGGTCGGGCCTGCCAAATCCAGGGTACCCTGGTGCCCTGTGTGTCGCGACCCCTGCCTTCTGCATCCCTGTGGAACGGTGGCCATTGGTGGCTCTCGCGTGCCCTTTCCAATCAAGCTCGACTATGCAGCAGTTCCAGCCTTCCACGCCTAGAAGCCCGCAGGAGGCCCCAGGAGGCGCCCAAGAGGCTGCCTAGGTGCCCGAGAAAGCCCCAAAAGCACTCCACCCCTAGGAGGTAACGTCGATGATTTGCCGTCGTCGTCGTCGCCCCCCTCCAGACTTGGCGGGACCGGCCGCAAAGCCTTCGCAATTCGACAATCGCAGAAAACGACCAGAAGCATTATCGGATTTCTTGGATCGGCGCTGATGGGCCCCCCACTTGGCGAGCGGGGCGCGCCAGGGAGAGGCGCCGAAGGCACCGCCCAAGGAGCCCAGCGCCGATCCAAAAGATCCGCGCGGAGCTCCGTCATTTTATGCTGTGTTGGCTTGTTTTATCGACGTCTGATGACCGCGCCTCCACGCCTCCACGTCGCATTTGAGCAAGCATCTGACTACAGGGGGGCGCACTTGAGCGGGAGAAGGCCTCACGCTAAACGACATGGCGACCTTACGCCGCGGCTGAAGCGGGCCGCCATCGCGGAGAAAGAGGGGCGCTTACGCGCAAGCTCACGCGGGCAACTTACAGTGAGGGCCAGTCCACAAGAAGCCTTCCTTGTGGATACCCAACCCTGGAACCCAAGGACGTCCATTGATTTTTGGCGTGGGAACATCAAGATCTCCATAGCAAAACCATCGAAGCCCAAGAAACCCAGGACACCCTGGAGGCAAGCAGGGTGTTTCTTGGCATGGGCCTCCACTGTACGCGAGACCTCACGCGGGAAACTTACGTGCCAATGTCGGCGCAGCGCTTCGTTTCTTTCCGTCGCTCCAGTGGCAGCGGCCGCGCCACGGAGAGTCCGTCGGCGGGGAGCCCTGTGGGGGAAGGCAGTGCGAGGGGGCAGGCGTTCGTTCTGGGGAGGCGTCGGGGTGTCGCAGAAGCCCCCAGGACCTTTTTGAGAAGCTTCGCAAACCTTCTCCGAAACCACACATGCTCTCTCAAAAGGCGAAACGAGTGTTTGTGAGAAGCTCCGCCGCCTTCTGGGAAGGCCTGCCCCCTCTCGAGTCACCTCTGGGCGCGCCGCCGAATCTGGTGATCAAGGGGCCGTGGCGGCGGACAGGCCCCGCTAATCGGCAGAGACATGGCCGAGGGGGGTTGTTGACTGTGGCGGTTCTGTTACGCTCTTCGCGGGGACGGCTGCGCCCGAGCAGCAGGAGTCTGCAGGGGGGGGGATCCGTCCGACGCGCGGCGTCCTCCGCACTGGGCGCTCTCCCGCGGCATCGCGGGGCTCGCCGCGGCGCGGCAGGCCTCCCGTGGAGGCGGCCGCGCCATCGGGGGCCCCGCCTCTGGCCCTCGCGAGGTGGCCCGAAAACGAGCAGCTCACTTGACTTGTGGATGCCACGACAGTGGACACTCGAACAATCCTACCATTGAATTGAAGATGTGCTTAACATGTGTAAGCCATGTGCTCAAAAAAACGTTTCAACCATGTTTTTACCTATTCAAAACATCCTTGAAACATCGGTTAGACATCAAGACATTATTTGGCAACACGCTTCCTCTCCATTCACCGACTTCGACAACACTTGAGCGGACAAAAAGCGAAGCGACAAGCCCGACGTACCTCCTGGCCCTCGCCCGACGCCAGGGAGCGAGCCAGAGAGGTCCTTGCAAGCCCCACCGTCATCCTGCTGCTGGACCGCTGTCCAAGAGCACCTGGCAGTCGCAGGAACGCGCCCACCCCGACCCCCCCCCAGTGCGCCAGCGGCCCCCCAAGTGCACCGCGGAACCACCTCGACCGAGCAAAGTTGCTCTGGGCAGCTGGGGGACTCAAGACGGTGTAAACATGAACTAGCGGAGGTTCGCGCGAATTTCTTGGATCGGCGCTGACCCCCTCACCCTGGTGCGCGGAGCGCGCTGGGGGCGGCGCCGGAAGCGCCGCCAGGGGGCTCCATCGCCGATCCAGAACACCGCGCGGACCTCCGAAAGAGCGTGTTCATGGCATGTTTTTTCCTTGGCCCGTGGAACGCGCCCCCGAGGAGGAGGAGGAGGAGGAGGAGGAGGAGAAGGAGGTGGAGGAGGAGGAGGAGGAGGAGGAGGAGGAGGACGACGCGTCCTGGGGTCCCTCACGGCGGCGGACCCCTTGCCCTGCGAGAGCCGCGGGGCGTTGTGGTCGCAGAACGCCTCCCACACCTGTGGGCGGGGGGGCGCCGCGGGCCCATCTCATCGCCGCCGCCGCGGTCGCGGAGGCAATGCTGCCTGCCCGCGCGCGCACGAGGGACCCGAGCGGCGAACATATCCGCACTCGCGCCCTTTGGCGGCGAGCGAGGGGGAGAAGTGAGAAGGAGAAGGCCTTCTCAGAAGGCGGCGGGACTTCTCAGAAGCCCTCGCGCCTTCTGAGAGGTTTCTTCTGTCTTCGGGGAAGGCTTAGACATCTTCTCAGAGGGCCGTGGGACTTCCGAGACTTCCGAGAAGGCCCGCCCCTTCCGGCTTCCCTCCCTCGCTCGCCGCCGAACCCTCGTGGTCTGGGCTGCGGGGCGCGATGTCGCGGATGCGCGGTCACACGGATACGCTCCGCGCGGGGACCCCGCGAAGAAAACGGCCCGCATCCGTTGGGTCGCGGCCTCAATGGGCCCCCAGGACGGCAGGACTGTCTTTTCACCGTTTCCGAATGAACTGCTTCTTCACGGTAGAAAAGCGGCAGCCAAAAACGGCAACAAAAACCACTCGGGAATTGGAACCGAGACTGGAACGGGCAGCGAAAACGGCGACGACGAAACCGAAACAAAACGGCGCTGGAACCGGCCAAAAAAAACGACATGACGGAACCAGTAAAGAAACGGCCCTGTCGATTCCACGGCCCACTAGAAGGTCGCGGCCCAGGAACCTGGCCCGCGAGGCCGCGGATACAGATATGTTTTCCGCCCACGAAGGGTGCAGCGCGAGGGGGGCAGCCTGCCAAGAAGGCGAGGGGGCTTCTGACTGAGGAGGCAGATGGCTTCGAAGAGGCCATGCCGGCTTCGAGGAAGCCGTCTCAGAAGCATACCAAGCGCTTCGAAGGGGGCCCCAGCCTTCCCAGGAAGACCCCCCTTAGAACTCCACCGCCCTGGCGCCACCCCTAATTGCTCGCAGCCGAGCTACGGGAAGGCAAGTACCACTGTTCTGTCGGCGGCCGTGTGTGCAGCAGCATAGCGGTCCTGGAAAGCGCGTAACCGATGCAGAGAGAGGAGGAGGAGGAGGAGGAGGAGGAGGAGGAGGAGGAGGAGGAGGAGGAGGAGGAGGAGGAGGAGGAGGAGGAGAGAGAGACGGGCCAGCAGGGGCGGCGCCGGGGCAGCGGATGCTGGTAGCACTGAGGGCTGGGTCTTCCTCCTCCTCCTCCTCCTCCTCCTCCTTCTCCTCCTCCTCCTCCTCCTCCTCCTACTTCTCCTCCCCCTCCTCCTCCTCCTCCTCCTCCTCCTCGTCCTCCTCATCATATCTCGTTCGCGTGGGCCTGCGCAGAGTCAGCACACGACAAGCCCACGCCCGACCACAACAGCACAGAGACCTCGGGCCCTCGGGTTCGCCCCAGAGGGCCCCCAGTCGGCCCGACGAGAATCTCTGCGAATGAAGGGGCAAACCATCGTAATCCTCATCGTCGTCGCTGTAGCCCTCAGCGTCGAAACAGTAGCCCTTCCTAGAGTTGGCGGTCTCGTCGTCGCCGTCCGAATCCGCGTCGTCATCGTCCTCCCGGTCCTTCCCGTCATCGGCGTCCACGGCCCGCTCTGGGGAGGTGGGTGCGTGAAGTGGGCCGGGGGGCAAGCAGGTGGGGAAATCATAATGTACCGATACCGCTACTCCGCAGACCTCTCCCGAGGTCTGACCAAAGTTTCCAGGCAAATCCAGCCGTGGCGACGAGGGCATCCCAGGAGGCTCAAAAAAGGAGAAAACGAAGGAAGGGTAGCGGTATGGGTACCTTCTCCTTCTCTGAGAAGGGGGGGAGACAGGGGATCTGAGAGAGGTGGATTAGGGTATCGGGGAAGAAGGGGGAGGTTGAAGAGCAGGCGGGCGGAGAGGGGGGCGCGAGCGGGCGGAGGATGAAGGAGGGGAGCAGGATGGGAGGGGGGAGGGAAGGGAGAGGCGTGGTGAAGGGGGGAGGGGGTGGGGAGACACGTCCACCTGAAACAAAGAATGCCCGCACAGGCATCCCGACATCGTGGCATTGCATATTGTGGAATCAGCAGTAACTTCTGCAAAATGGTAAGGGGTGCCCAACGCTGGCGGCGACAACTGCTGAGAGGTCGGTATAGGCATAACTATGAGTTACTAGGTCGCATTAAGGAGCTGCTGAACCTGCTACTCAATCAGAACAATCAACCCACATGTAACCAGAATGGGCCCAATGTCCTAAGCCCGGGCTAGGCCGCATTATGCCCAAGCTGGCACCACCGAAACCCAGTAACTCATTATCCGAGGAGCTGCTACAACCTTAGGTTGTAGTACTGACTGGCCCCCTCGGCTAACAGCCAGTGAATGCCCGAACCACTGGGATGTTACGCGAACCCCGTTCACCCACGAACGGGCCACCAAAGAACAGACGCACGCCGTCCGCATGGCCGTCCCCACGCAGATGCAAATTGCTTTAGAATAATGTATATATGTGCATCTAAAATCGTGCACATACATATCTATACACACACGTATGTATACAGATGAATGTGAAGGTATGTATGCGCATATTCGCAGATCCGTGATGCTGTACTAGAAATATAAATAGCCGCGACGGCGAGGGATATCTGATCGATGTACCTAACCTAACAACAGAGGGAGGTATATACATACATATACCTATATATAGAGAGAGAGGGAGGGACAAACAAAGATAATACTGCCAAGCATGCACAATCACAAATCCTGGCCAAGCCAATCTTGGGCCAATGAACGGGATAGCTGGGGCTCAACTTGACCTACCCGTTGCCGTCGTATGAGAGAGACTGCCGTCATCCGAAGCCTGGAGATAAAATGGGGAGCCGGTAGAGAAAGAGAGGCGACAGACGAGGACCAGCGAGGCAGGACATGGCGAGGGGACAGAGCGAGCGAACGGACAGTACACCCCTGGGCGGCTCCCACCTTGCCAAACTCCTGAGACTTCTCGCCCTGAATCTTCTTAACCAGGGACACCTGCGCAGGATGGTGGGAAGGAGGCAGCGCGGAGCAGGGAGTAGCCTGCGGCTCAGAAATGGGGAAGACTGGTTCCTCTAAATATTTCAGCGTGACGTGGAGTGAGAATGTATGAGAAGCTCACCAATGGCATGCAGGACGACTGGCTGCTCGAGAGGAAAGGAGATACTCACTGAATGGGCCACCATGTCAGGGACGAATGTCTCTACACCTGCGCAGACCGCGAGTGGGTTGGTGACGGAATGGTGGGGGTGGATGGGAAGTAAAAGGGGAAATGTTAGCCCCTATCCCAGGCTTCGTGGGCATTCGAATGGACCAGATATTTTTGGCCAAACTGGGGGGCGGCCATCCTCGATAGGGGTGCGTCCGAATAGCCCCCTTGGGGTGTATCCTAGCGTTTCTCTCTTTTCCTGAGCAGCCAAACTTTTCGGGCGGAACGCGGGAATCGGTGGGGGGGAAACTCGCCTGTGAGGGAGGGTGGGGGTGGATGGGGAAGGGGAGAGGGGGGAGGGGGGTGGTGACTCCGGAGGGGCAGGGGTTGTGGGCGGGGGAAGGCACAGCGATGCTGAGAATGCCGCTGCCACGGGTCTTTGGCGACGCTGCCCACGCGCAGCACCGCGCCCTCGCAGGGTCCGGACTTGGCGGCACGCACAAGGGGGTCGGGGGTTGGGGGGAAGTGAAGGGGCCCTGGGACACACACGCACACATAAACACACACACACACAAATAACAGGATCCCCCATATTTCCCAATATCTTCTGGGTTTTTGTTTTCCCCTCCACGTCCCACATTTTCCAGTCTTTTCTAGGGAATCGACGATTAATTGTGTCTGTGTGTTTTTCCCCCTTCTGAGAAGGGGGTCGGGGGGAGGGGGGGAAGGCTCCTTCGAAGGCGGCTGCTCCTTGGGGAGGGCGCCAGCCTCGCAGCTGCAGATCAGGCCCGCGCCATGGAAGGAGCAGGGGCACTTCTGTAAGAAGCCTCCCCCCCCTCCCCTGGACGAGCGCGCTCCATCACTCGCAACGTAACTACTCGCCAATGGCCTGGATCCGCCGTGGAGGATTGCAAAAAACGAAGGATTGCAAAAAAACCAAGGATTGCAAAAAAACCCGTTTTGCAATCCTTGTTTTTTTTGCAATCCTTCGTTTTTTGCAATCCTTGGTTTTTTTGCAATCCTTCGTTCGAGGAAGACGGGACAGGATCTGTGTCGGACGTCTGCGACCAGGCACTCTGCGAGCAGCGGGGCGCGCCCGTGGCTCCCCCCCTTGGCCCGCCCCTCCGCGCGCGGCCGGCGAGCCGAGCTGCGGATGCTCACGCGGCGGCGCGCGTGGGCGCGAGGGGCGACTGAAGCTGCGGGCGGGCATCGAGGGGGATCGAGGGTCGAGGATCGAGGGGGGGGGGCGCCAGGCATCGGGGGAGGAGAAGATCGGGTCCACGCGTGTCGTAAGGATGCGTCGTACCTTTTCCTGTGCAAGCTCTTCGGCACCGCCCGCCTGTGCCCTGTCTCCCAAATTAAAGCTGTGCGTAGCCCGCCTAGCTTTTAGCGGAAGAGGTTCGCCCCCGCCCCGCCGACCAAAAACAAGTGTCGTAAGGATGCGCGGCAAGGCTGCATCGGGGCCCTGGAGGCCCACGGGGACGTGCTTCGAACGGGGCTGGCCAGCGACCGTCGCTCAGGATGGGCCGAGGAGGGGCCACGATGCCAGGGCACCCTCGGAACACTTGCCCATGAATTCCATGCGGGCCTGTCATGTCACCCGTCCGTCGTCGCCACGGCTGGGTTCGCCTCGAAATCCTGGCCACAGCACCCCAGGAGAGGTCCGTGGAGCAGCGGTAGTTATCGGTATCCGGTTGTCCCCCCAGGGTAGCTGGATGCACGTGACGCGGCCGGCCTGCGGATGGGGGGACCCCTGACCCTCCCAGAGTGCTGACAGCCATCCCTCGAGCACGCGTGCACGCGGAAAGAGCACTGCAAGGCCAACACCCAAAAAAGAACAAGAACTGTCAGCCCTGGGCGTCATTCCGTGAGCCCTCCTGGAAGGTCACAGGGATGGGGGGTCCCAGACTTTAGACGGGCTGCTTGCTTCAATCCGAAGAATCCTGGACCCTGGATCACTCGACCCCAATGCATTCCCCCACATAAGGATCCGAAGATCTGGAATTGACCAGCCTGGAAGACACAGGTCACGAGGGAATTCTCCAACCAATGCCTGCACTGAGGGTTTCGACTTGTGGTGCAACGAGCTGGCCTTCAAGGTCGGTCTGACGGCTATGTGGCCGCCGTCGCTGCACCGTCGCCGCCCGTCGTCTGGGCCTGGAAATCGGTATGACGGCTATGTCGACGCCGTCGCCGCCCTGTCACCACCGTCGACTGGATCGGTCTGTCGGTCTGGCGGCTGTGTTGTCGCCGTTGCCGCCCCGTCGCCGCTACGCCGCCGCCCTAGATTGCACAACCTGGATTCTCCTTTCTAAAAAGAGGACTCTACCCCCCCCCGGACTTATCGGTTCCCCCTGGGATAGTATGATTTCATATATATATATATATATATACATATGTATATTCTGCACACTCGTCCATCCTAAATATGAAATCATACCATCCCAGCTAGGCCGGCTCCCCCCCTGAGGTTCCCTTGTGAAAAAAAAAACACTATGCGGTGACATTTGTTGTTCTAACAAAACACTTTTTTTCACGAATCCCTTGCAACAAATGAAACGAAGTGCACACGCGCGCGTCGTCGCGCGCGCATGCCGAAATCCTTCAAAAACCTTCGGTGCGGGAAGGATTTCGCAATCGAGTTCCCAAAAAACATACAACAACACAGGGTTTCGCAACACAGAGTTGCTAAAAAAGTTTCCGCGAAAGCTCTTGCGAAATCTTTAAACAAAAAACAATAGGCTTTTCAAAAATTTTACAACATGCTACCAAACGGGCTTCGTGCGCGCTCATGTCGAAATCTGTCGAGCGCCCTTGCGCGTGTGCCGTCGCGAGAATCCCCTGCAAAAAACGGGACGAAGTGCAGACGCGCGCCTCGTCGCGCGCGTATGCCGAAAACCTTCAAAACCCATCGGTTTCGGAAGGATCTCAAAACCGTGTGTCCAAAACACATACAAACACACAAGGTTTCGCAACACGGGTTTTCAACAAAAGCGTGCGCGCGCGCTCTTGCGTCGTCGTCGTCGTCGTCGCCGTCCTCCCTCCTCCCGCGTCGTTGTCGTCGTCGTCGTCGCCTACGTCGTCCTCTGTCTTTCCTCGTGTTCGTCGTCGTTGTCCTCTTTGGCGTCGTGGTCGTTTCCGTCGTCGTTGTCGCCGTGGTCGTCCTTCCTCCTCCTCCCTCGTCGTCGTCGTCGTTCGTCGTCGGCGTCTCGTCGTCGTCCCTCCTACTTCGTCGCCGTCGTCGTCGTCGTCGTCATCGTCGTCGTCGTCGTCCCTCCTCCCTCGTCGTTGTCGTCGTCGGCGTCGCCGTCTTTCCTCCTTCGTCGTCGTTCGCGTCGTCGCCGTCCTCGCCTTCGTTGGCGTCGTCGTCGTCGGCGTCGGCGTCGGCGTCGTCGTCGAAGTCGTCGGAGACGTCGTCGGTGTCGTCGTCGTCGTTGTCGTCGGTGTCGTCGTGGTCGGGTGGGTGGGTGGGTGGGATGGGGTGCGTCGAGGTTTTGCAAACCAAGTTGCGGGTGGGTGGGTGGGATGTTTGCGCGAGCAGTGGAGATGACGACTTCAAGTTCAGCAGAGTGGATTGCACCGCATAGGTTGCACCACGCAGATTTCACAGCATACCTCGTACACCTAAAATGCAACACATTGCCTGCACAACATATATTGAAACGCGCAGGTTGCAACACATGGATTGCGCAACGTGCAGAACAACACATTGAGTGTACAACAAATGTGCTGCCGTTTATAAAGAATTAAGATTTACCCCTTGGGATTATCGAAGCTCCCTGGAATAGAACGATTGCAATATGATGATGTCCGACCGTCCATCTGACACATGACTTCATACCATTACAGGCGGCCAGGTCGCGCGGCGAAAACAGATGGTTCAACATCCATTGTGCAAATCATCCACACGCGCACGGCATCGCGCGCATGCCATAATCCCGCAAGAAAACCTTACGATCCCGGGATTTCGATGTCGATATTCCCGACGTGTGTATACATACATACATATAAACATGTATAAATGTTGAAACATGACTTCTCGCAAGAAACAGGGCGCGCTATTACGAATTATTCAGGAACCCGTTGGTTTTCAAATGTTCCATCAAATGGGACCACGCGGGGCTCTCGCGACCGGAAGCCAACAGGATTCGAAAGCCCTTGCGCGCTTGCTGAGGAGGGCATGAGCCCTGTCAAATAATACCATGCGGGCCACTCGCGCCCGTCGGCCACGCACGCATGTCGAAATCCTTCCAAAACGTTCATTGTCGACTCTTGGACACCATCATCGTCATCGGCGTGATCAGCGTCGGCGCCGTCATTGGCCTCGCCGTCGTCATCGTCATCACCGTCACCAACATCGCTAATGTCGCATCGTATCTGCCGTTGCCGACGTCGACAAGGTACCGCGCCCGCCTGAGCAACCGACTTGCACTGAAGTGCCTGCACGTCAATGTGGGCTGCGACACTCGCTCGGAAGTCCCCAATGGGCACCGCCACAGCGCGGCGCCGGTCTCGCAAGACCAGCTGGCCGCTCTGCGCGCGAGCATGCGCGCGCTAGCGCGGCCGCAGGGATGCGCCAGCCAGCGCCAAGCAGTCATCGCAACCGCCGCCGCATGGGCTTTGCAAGCCAAACTGCGAGCAGGTGGGTGGGATGTTTGCCCAGGCATGGGAGGTGTTCGCGCGCGCGGGAGTCAAGTCAGTTGCACCACATAGATTGCTTCACATAGATTGGGCAACACAGATTGCTGTAAACGAACTGCTCGGCGCCCACGCTGGCCAACATCCTGGATTGTCTTCTGATGGTCACAGGGCACGGGGACAGCCCCGTGGAGCCCCAAAAAGTTACGCTAACCCTTGAGGTGCTATTAGGACAACAAGGGGCAGGGCCTTTTGTTTCCCACCGTTTCCGAAAACATGTCTCTTGAAAACGGACACGGCCGAAAAACGGCGACCAGAAAAGGCGAAAACACGGCTCCAGAATTGGAACCGGAACTGGAACCGACATCAAACACGGCGACAACGCCGGCAAAAAAACACGGCGCCAGAGCCGGCAGGACAACGGCGAAACGGAACCAGCAGCAAAAACGGCCCTGTCGATTCCCGAATGTCCCACAGTGCGGGCGCGGCCGCAAGAAACCCTCGCAAGAAACCCAACCCTGAGAACCCGTGCGCGAGGTGCACCTGAGGGGAAGCCTGGAGCACCCTGAACGCAGCAGCTCCTTCAACTGCTGCGGGAGGTCACCCCGCGCAGCGCGAGGAGCGAAGAAACCCAGGATACCCTGACGAAAAGCATTTGGCTTCTGGATGCGCGCCCCCACCGCAATAGGCAATAGGCCTCCTGTCCCCTCAGGGCACGACCTTCTTCGTGACGATCCCTGCCCCGTGGGTAGTCTCGAGAGGACCCCCAGAGACCGCGGGGGCGCGGCCTGGCCAGGCTGTCGGGCCCAGCCGCGGCGAGGAGGGGCCTCTCAAAGGCCCGAGGAGGGCCAAAGCACCCGCGACCACAAGGGGTGCGGTTTGCGAAAGGTGCGGTCTGCCTCCCGTCACATCTGCCCCTCCCGCCCCCCGGGAAACGGATGACACTGTCACTCCATGCGGCCGAATCACGCGACAGTGTCGCTCCTTCTACTACGGTGGAGGGCACATCGAGGACGACAGCGTCGCTCGCAACGACGACAGTTATGACATTGTCTCTCACAAAAGTCCCGGAAAAGGCCGCCACAAAACTACTCGCAAACCGCACCCCGGCGTAACCGCACCGATTGCAGTCGCCGAAGAAGACTCGAACCTCTGCATGCTGATTCGCTCCATCATACAAGCGCCTTCCGCTGCGGTGGAGGCCCGACCACAAGAACAATCTTCCACAAGAAACCCAACCCTGAGACCCCAGGGCGTCCATCGATTTCTGGTGTGGGGACGTCACACTTTTCACAGCAGAACCGTCGAAACCCAAGAAACCAAAGACACCCGCGGGGAATGTGCGACCCCTTTCATCGGGGTAGACCTGTGTTCTTGTTCGGACGCTTGCGAGGAGGCACTCTGCGAATAGTGGAACGCGCTCGGTGATGGCAGGACGTCGGTGAAGTGAGGTTGATGGGGGATGGCGAGGCAAGGGGCGACAACGGAGCGACAGCGACGAGGATGACGACGGCGGCGACAGAGGCGCCAGCGAATACGACGACGACAACAACGACAAGGGCGGCGACGACGACGACGACGAGGACGACAACGACGGCGACGGCGGCGACAGCGGCGGCGAAGCTCAAGTGGAGCCCATGCCGGGCCAGCACCCACACTCCCTGAGACCCGGCGTCGGCAACAACAACAACCACAACAACAACAACAACAACAACAACAACAACAACAACAACAACAACGACGACGACGACGACGACGACGACGACGACGACAACAACAACAACACCAACAACATCGTGGAAAATCAAGGCCCGAGCCCTCGACACTATCTTTCTGCCGCACTTCTGAGGGAGGGGCAACGTTAGCAGGGGACTCCCCGTCCCAGAGGGGGGAACAACGACCTGGAATTGGCGATGCATCGCCGATAGATCGGCGTCTGCCCCGCAGTAGCGAGTCCGCACGCTCGTGGACTGGGTGGGGCCATCGGGCCTTTCTCGGCGATCAGTGCGCGACTTGGGGTCGGTGCATGCCCCCCTGAGCCTATCCCCCCACAACGCTGCCCCTCAACGGCGGGAGGCTGAAGGGGCCCTGGGACACACAAATATATAGACCCAAATAGCAGGATTCTCGATCTTTTCTAGGCTTTCGGATCCCCCCCCACTCCCCCTATTTCCGAACCCTCCTGCGTTGGGTTCTCGTTTTGAATAGAGCACTGCTCGCGCGAACCTTCCTTCCCGTCCCTCTCTCCCCCCCTGCCTTTTACCTGGCTCGTCGCTGCGTTTCGAGGGTTGCTGGGCGTTGCGATCTGTGAAACTGTCGCCACTTTCGAGGGCTGCTGGGGGGCCCAGCGCAGTGGGTACCCACGGCGGATTCATCCTTGGGGGGCTGCGATCTGTGAAGTTGTCGCCAATTTCGAAGGCTGCTGGGGGGCCCAGCACAGTGGGTACCCACGGCGGATTCAAATGGGACCTCGCCATCCCTGGTGGGCTGCGATCTGTGAAACTGTCGCCACTTTCGAGGCCTGCTGGGGGTCCAGCGCAGTGGGTACCCACGGCGGATTCAAATGGGACCTCGCCATCCCTGGGGGGCTGCGATCTGTGAAACTGTCGTCACTTTCGAGGGTTGCTGGGGGGGGCAGCACAGTGGGTACCCACGGCGGGTTCAAATTGGACCTCGCCATCCCTGGTGGGCTGCGATATGTGAAACTGTCGCCACTTTCGAGGCCTGCTGGGGGGCCCAGCACAGTGGGTACCCACGGCGGATTCAAATGGGACCTCGCCATCCCTGGGGGGCTGCGATCTGTGAAACTGTCGCCACTTCTTACCTCGCTCGTCGCTGCGTTTCGAGGGCTGCTGGGGGCTGCGATCTGTGAAACTGTCGCCACTTTCGAGGGCTGCTGGGGGGCCCAGCACAGTGGGTACCCACGGCGGATTCAAATGGGACCTCGCCATCCCTGGGGGGCTGCGATCTGTGAAACTGTCGCCACTTTCGAGGGCTGCTGGGAGGCTCAGCGCAGTGGGTACCCACGGCGGATTCAAAGGGGACCTCGCCATCCCTGGGGGGCTGCGATCCGTGAAAGTGTCGCCACTTTCGAGGGCTGCTGGGGGGCCCAGCACAGTGGGTTACTTACCGCAGACTCAAATGGGACCTCGCCATCCCTGGTGGGCTGCGATATGTGAAACTGTCGCCCCTTTTCGAGGGCTGCTGAGGGGCCCAGCACAATGGGTACTCACTGCAGACTCAAACGGGACCTCGCCATCCCTGGGGGGCTGCGATCTGTGAAACTGTCGCCACTTTCGACGGCTGCTGAGGGGCCCAACACAGTGGGTACTCACCGCAGACTCAGGTTTGACCTCGCCATCCCTGGTGGGCTGCGATCTGTGAAACCTGTCGCCACTTTCGAGGGCTGCTGAGGGGCACAGCACAGTGGGTTTCCCGCACGTGTTTTTCCTGCTCTTCGCTCCCGACTCCCCATGTCCTCTTCGAGCCTGTAGTTGTCGCCCCTCGTTCTTGTATGGTTCTCCTGCGCATCATGCCATTGGCGCGTGTCCCATGTAGCTTACATATCAAACGACGGATCCTGCAATTTGATTGTCCGTGCAAGTTTCGGCCAACTCCTCGTTTACCATGATACAAATGGGTTGGGTACGTCACAGGGTAATTTCCTTTCCCATGTTTTTTTTAAAACTGGGAATCGACGATGTATTGTGTCTGTGTGTTTTTGCTCCCCTCCCTGAGAGGCACGCGGCGGCGGGAGGGCCGGGCGAGCGCCCAGAAGCCGCGGGGGAGCTCGTGCCCCAGGAACCGGCGGATGTTCTCCTTGGGCAGCAGCTTCGGGTCCCTGATGGGCCTGTCCCCGGCGGGAGGTGGGCTTGGCGCGGCAGCAAGGAACGGCGACACCAGCAGCAACAGGGCGAGGATATGCGAGGAGCAAGGCGGGCCTCCCTGGTGGTGTGGTCCTCCCCGCTCGCTCGGGACATCCCCAGCCTCCAGCTCGGGGAGGCATCGTGGGCCTCCTCGATGGAGGTGGGCCCCCTGGTGGTGTTGGTGTCGACTCCCCCTCCTCCGATTGGCGGCGCGCACGGAGCCTCGAGGATCGAGGATGAGTTTTGGTGGAGCGATCGGCGACCCAGTGCCAGAAGTCTCTCACGGGTGCGGTGGCATACCCGCTGCGGCGGGCGCTCGTGCGCAACCGTACGATGAGGAGCACCACCAGCAGAGAGGATGACCACGCTCGGTGAGAACTGCGTTGCCGATGCGTCGTGGCAGAAAGTAAGATGCTTTCAGTGTTGTCCATTTCCTTTCTCTCCCCTCCTTCTGTTCCATGGACTTGAACTGTATAATTTCCGATGCGCTAATTCGCGCGCAGATCTTTCTACGACCAGACGATGAACCCAAAAGAATCGCTGCGTGTTCAATATTGATCTTCGGGTCCCTGGAGGCGTGGTCGGGGGCCTCTGCTGGGTCTCTGGGGCTTGTCTCGGAGCCGATGTCGGGAGAGCCCTCCCATGCGAAAGCGGCAGCGTCGGCTCATCTGATGCTTCCGGCGGATTCCCAAAATTCGACCGATTTGTTTTTGGGTCACAGTCGGAAGTTGACACTGGACGATGCGCGCCTGCCCAAATCATGCGAAACGGGACGCTGCCGTAGGCAAGCCTGGACTGCTGCACGAGCCAAGCCGTGACTCTCGCGAAAAAATGTGACACACTACACGCTCAGGAGGAGATCTCGATTCCTCAACAACCCTGAAACACAGATGCATCAATTGTTCGAGCTTCGATAAAGGAGAACCGAATCATTATTGAGTTTTCAAGGTGGCAAAACACTGACGGCGCGATGCATCACGCATGCAACCGGGCGATCAAATCCCACACGTCGTGCTGGGACGACCAAACCAGCATCACTTTTCGCCTGGGTCGCCGACTACGGCCCGGCGGCCTCGGCGGCGACGAAATCGAATCGAGAATATCCTGTGGAAGCCCCATGATCCCACGTCCTCCCACACCCTCGATCCTCCCACATCCTCGATCCTCGATATGCGGGGCGGGACTCCAAGGAAGGGGGGGTGGTGGCTCAGGGGGAGAAACATCAACCTGGAATCTGCGGTACAGTGGCGGCCCGACCACAAGAGACCTTCCACAAGAAACCCAACCCTCAGACCCCAGGACGTCCATGGATTTTTGGCTTGGGAACGCCGCGCATTCCACAGCAGAACCATCGAAACCCAAGAAACCCAGGGCACCCTGGAGGCGAGCAGGGTGTTTCTTGGCATGGGCCTCCACTGCAGCGGGGCTCTGCAACCCACCGTGGGACATTTCTTAGGCGATCGACCTGTTACCCATGCCCTGGGTCACGCTCGGCCCTGCGAAGGGCCAAAGCGGCGGCCCGGATAACATCGGTCATCCAGAGCCACGAAGAATGATCTCTTTCCGACGGCGTCGAGTCCCTGGGGCCCTCCAGGGGCTCCGTGGCATCCAGAGAACGACTCAGGATGAAGAGCTGGTCTTGGGGGGAGGGTGCAGGGGTCCAGGACCCGTTGCCCTCAGGACCCGCTTCCCCCATGCGAAACGAGGCTCGATGGCAACGACCTTTAGCGCGTCCCACTAGTCGCGTCGCTGAGTTGGACCTGCAGGTCGCCCGGCCCTGCTTTCCCCGGCGCCCACGACGGGGGACAGCAGCAGGGGTATGGAGGGCCCCAGGACGACCCAAGAGGCAGCCAAGACGGTAAATGAAAAACCGCAGTGCGGCCGCCAGGACGGCAGACAAAAACTGGAGTGCGGCCCCAGGAGGGGCCCCGATGAGGGGGGAACATCGCGTAAAGCTATTCATGGAACCCCGGGGCTTAAGGTAAAGTTGTTTTGATGGAGGCCTGTACAGGAAAGAACATAATAGAACTGCGACAATTCAAAGGTTGAACAAGCACATTTGGAGTTGCTGCTGACCGCGTACGGCAAGCACTCGCCATCTTCATTTGCCCGCCAAGCCCTGGCAATTGGTGGGTCATTGGTGGCTGAAAAGCTTCGGAGAGCTGGTATTTCGTGAGGTTTGCCTCCTCCTTGTCCCCCTCCCCCCCCATCCCCCTCCGCAGAGGAGGGGGGGAATCTCCCTGATAGCTGACATGCTGGCAAATCCCCCCCCCAAGCTGGCTGGAAGTCGGGCCTGTCCCTCTACAGGAATATTCAAAAATTGTTAAAACAATAGTCTGGGGACGGTTTTCGAATATTTATGATTATGTGTGGGCATGTTTGACCATGTTTTTATATTTCGTCCAAAATTCGCCTGTAGAGGGCACGCCCGACCTGAAGCTAACTTACAAGTTGTGAACAGTGCCGGGTGAGCGCTGCTGTTTCTTACCTCCGGGCCGCCTCCTCGTCCGCCCACGGCTGCGGCGGGCAGCGGGCGGTGGGCAGCGCTCCGCGAGCGGCGCCGCTCGCGACGGCGCCCGCCACCGCCCGTGCTGCCGTTTTGGGCTCCGACGGGGCGCCGACGGGAGAGAGGAAGGGAAATTTGCGGCGTCCAAACCCCGGAGAGCGGGGCAGCGGAGAGAGCGTCATTCTCTGATGTGTTTTTGGGCTATCTGTGGAAAACCGTGGAAGACGACTGCAAGGACGCTTGAAAGCATCTCGTCTGGGGAGCTTGCAAGATCGTGAGAGGAGCTTCGCAGAACTCCCAGAGAATTTCGAAAGAGTTGCGCACAGGCTTGCGGCAAACGTACTGGGAACGAAAAAAAACACGCTTCCGGGCCAAATTCGGGGGCGAGGAGACTGATTTTTCTCGTTCGGCAAATTGCTTCCGTTTTTCGGATGTCGTTTTGTTTTGTCGGCCAGGTTGCTTCCTCATCGGCAATCCTTTGCCGTGTTTCGGCTGGCGCGCGGGGGCCCCAGGAGGCTGGCGGTGTCAGGCGTGCTGGGGGCCTGGCGAAGGGGTCCCAGGACGATTTTGGCAGGGCGGGTGGCCCCTGCGAATCCATGCGCAGAGGCTCCAGGAGGCCGGCAGCGCCGGGCGTGGTGGGAGGGGGCTTCCCGGGGCGATTTTGACGGGGCGGGTGGCCCCTTGAGAGTCCACGCGCAGAGGCTCCCGGAGGCGCTCGGCGTCGGACGCGGCGGGGGCCTGGCGGGCGGGCCCCTGGAAGGTTTTTGCAGGGCCCCCCTTTGGGGGCACCCTCGGGGCATCGTGGGGCCCTATTGGAGGAGATCGATCAAAGGAGGGGCCGTGGTAAATCAGGACCCCCCCCCGACGAGGCCAGAACGTGGCCAAAATCGTGCCACAACCGATGAGTTGCGTCTTCTCGCCGAGGCCACCTTGAGCGCCCTAGCCCCTCGCCCCCCCCCCTCCAGACCTAGGGGCCCTTTCCTCCGTCTCTCCCATTCTCCAAATCCAAAAAAAGAAAGGGTGCATATTGACCATCCGCGACATCACTCCTGGAGCATCTCGCTTCATGCGCGGCGCGCAACATAGTTCAGTGCTCCCTCCCGAGAAGCGTAGGAAAGGTGAGCCCCATGCGCGGAGTAGCGACTGCTCGGCGGCCACTCCTCCCAGGCCCTTGGATACGTCAAGGCATCCACTGCGCGCGACGGCGTCCAAGAGACAGCCAGCAAAAGCGCACAGGAAACCCCGACGAAGCTTCAAGACGCCCACCGAGACGTCCACGAGGCCTCACTTCGTCAGCGGGTCGGCGGAGTGTGGATAACATCGGTCACCCGGAGTCACGACTGTCTATTGTATATCCATGGCCCGCTTCTCCTGGCGCCCAGTGGGCGGGCAGCAGCAAGGGCATGGATCAAGCGTCGATCTTCGATTTCGGAACCGCTTCGTCGCGATGCGCGCCGTGGACTGGGAGCGCGCCGCCACTAACCACACTTCGCACCCACTGAGCACGGGCCTATGCAGAATCCCCGTTGATGGCCCCTGGAGTCGTGACCAGGGGCCTAATTGTGGGCCTCTGGAGCGAGTCTCGGGGCCAGTCGCGGGTCAGGCATCATGTCCTGCTACAGGCGGATTTTGTGAGAAAATTAAACGAGAGTCAAACCATAATCGAACATCATCCAAACATAATCGAAAACTCGTCCCCAGACGATGTTTTGACAATTCTCGAATATTCCTCCTGTAGAGCGACATGCCCGACGAAAGCCAGACTGTGGGCCTCGCGAGCGAATCTCGGGGCCAGTCCCTGGGAATGGCCTCGGTGCGCCTGGCCGCGAGCTGCGATGCCCTCCTCCTCCGTGACCCATCCGAGGCGCGCGGAGGGCTTGGCCAGCCCCCCCAATCCAGATTTCGGCGACCACGTCTGAACCCTGCCCAAGCATGCTCGAATCTTGACGAAGGGGAAGGGGAGGGGAGTGGGGGGGGGGGGGGGAAGGGAAGGGGAGGGGAGTGGAGGGAGAGGGGAAGAGAAGGAGGGGAAGGGAGAGGAGAAGGAGAAGGGGGAGGGAGAAGAGGGAAAAAAAAGGAAACGGACACGGGAGGCCAGAGCTTCCGTCCGGGAGCCTTGCTTCAGTCAAGTGGGCCGCAGACGCTTAGGCCCAATCCCTAAGGGCTTGTCGACTTGTGGGGGGTGGACTTGCGGGGGGGGGGCGAAAACCAGATTTCAAAAGAATCTGACATTTATCGAATATTTTTTGCATTACTTGTTTTTACTTTGTCACTTAGCTTGTACTACTTGCATTTGTTGCATTACTATTACACGATTTTGCTGAACTTGACATCATAGTTGTTCACGCGGCGCTGTCGTCCCCTGTTTCTTGTTATCCTTCTTCTCCTTCTTTTCCTCCTTCTCCTCCTTCTTATCCTCCTCCTCTTCTTTGAGAAAGGACTCCTCATCCTCCTCCTCCTCCGCCTCCTCCTCCTCCG